GTTCTGTGCATATAATTCAAGTCATTTTTAATTACTACATGGTTGTGATTTGCGCATTCAATGTCTGAACATTGCAAAAGAAATGGTTAACTTTATCTTTAATGAAGCTAAAAGTTCTCTTAAACTAAAAAGCCAAGAAAAATAAAAGTGAGCTCAACTAAAAAAATGTATAAACAAATTTATATATTTCATTAGAGAAAGTAAATAAAAATCAAATTGTTAGTAATTTTTTATTTACTACTAACCCGTATTACGGGTTGCTTACTGTATAAATAAACTTATATTTCATTAGAGAAAGTAAATAAATATCAAATTTTTAGTAATGATTTATCTACTACTAACCCGTATTACGGGTTGCTTACTGCTAGTATACTATTATTACCGTTCTAAAAGTGTAGAATTGTATCTTTATTTTGTTTTTTCGGAGGAATTCGTTTGTGACATTTATATTCTTTGTAAACCAAAGCTAGGGGTTGCTATATAGCCATTTATGTTCAATTATTTTTTAATATAAAAAAACGCAATATTATTTCTATTTTGTATTTTATTCTACTTTTCCAGTATATTTAATATATACATAGATAACAAAAAATCTGTTAGGAAAAAAAGCTTGGAAAATAAAACTCAAAACAGTAATAAAAATATAATTAATAAAAGAATGTATTTATACAGGGTGTCCCAATTCAACCGCGGCGGAGGATAGCGGCTAAACTGTGCTACTTACAAAAAATTGTTTTATATAAAAGTAGTGAGGATTTTTAAAAGCTATATTCTAAATTTATTTTCATTTATACAGAGTGTTCCATAAAAGCGTGGCGATACTAAGTTACCTTTTTTTAATTGGAGCACCCTATATTTTTTTACAAAAATAAATTCTTTGAGACATAAAAATAAAATAAGTTTCTTTAAACTAATAGCCTAGCACCGATAGTTAAAGAGATATACAATATTTTTTATCAAAACATGGTCTACTTTGAGGGCTCAAAATCTGTAAGACCTAGATGATTTTATTTTTCTCAGTTTTATTAAGCATATTCTCGTGAACAGTCATTTACTAAAACTTTGATTTTCCTCTACAATGTGGATGAACATAAACACTTTTAAAAGAGTTATTTTTCTCGCTCATTTTAAATGGAACACCCTCTAAATGAAAATGCCATCTGAAAGAGAATTAAATTCTGAGTTTTTTCATATAACTATTCTCTATACCCATCTCTTCAAATTTTCAAGATATATGTTTAATAAAATTTAAAGATTCTGCTTCGGCCATTTTGACAACATTTAAAACAAAAAATCCTCAAAAATAAATAAAAGTTTTTTTAAATAAATGAACTTAAATAAAATAATTCACTAACACAAAATATATTCTAAAATCACAAATAATTCTTGACATTCAAAAATCAATAATAAACTTAAAATCCTTTTTTACAAAAATTTTTTAGATTCAAAACAATCCCGTAATAAGTAATAAGGGTATGAAACTATAATTTGTTTTTGAAGTCTATTTTGCTCTCCATGCGAGGAGTTCTTTTTCTGCTCTCTACAGTTACCGCCATAACCCTTTCTCGATTTTTATGAGTGACACGTCAGAAAACAGTAGTTAGCAATTGAACTTATCTCTCTGTTCCTTGAATATGCAATGGAATTCGAGGATCCATCAGTGGCATATCAAATTGTGAAAGGTCTTTTAAGTTATCATAGGGAAGGTGGCGTGTAAACGGTGGTTCAGATAAAACATCATCATTCAAATTGATCATATTGGTGTAATTGGTACACTCGTAATTAATCTTGGGTTTTTTGTATTTTCTAATTTTACTAGTATCGTCTAAATTATCCCGAAAATTGATAATTTTTTCTATGACCCTGTTGCGTATGTCTTTTCTCGTATCAAATAGCATACCCAATAACACATTTTCTGGGTGTGCATAATATGAATTATTGTCAACAACTTTAATTATAATATTACGTAAATTTGGGGATAAATATTTTGTCCATTGAATAAATTGCGATAAAAGTTGACTACCATAGACTACAGAACTATAATATTTAATGTTAAAATACATTGGAATAAAAACAGTCATTATACAAACTGCTAGAATTTTTAAATTTTTTGACGGATTGTTAGTTGTCACGTATAATCTTAATATTCTGCTAGCCTTAGTTAACCAGCAGGCATGTGATATTGGTCCTGGTTTTTTATTAGCCAAATCCATTGGGCAGATGCCATTGAACATCTGTAGATAAATCTTTTTGATGTTGATCTTCCAAAAGCGGAGACATATTCTTTAATGGAATCGATTGAAAGTCACTTACAACCTCAATAGTGTTTGTTTGTATAGAAATACTTAGATCTTATGTAATGTTAACATCAGATATTAAAATAAATTAATTATTACTTATCTGCAATTTGTGACATTCTACAATCTTTAGGGCTAAATCTCTAGTTGATGTACGAGGTCCAGATGTGGCTGATTTCTCCAATGCTTCGTATAAGTAATGTAATGGAAGTTCATTAAAATGTAGTAGACATAAAAACCAATGCAATGGTTTTCCTAATTGCAAATCAAGTAGACGTAAAACACCATTTTCTGTTTCAGTATTGGTAACTTCGCCATCGCAACAAATGCCAATTAATGAATCTAGTGATATATCTTTATTAACAAAAAATTCATTTAAAGTTTTTTGTTGAGTTTCTGCATTATCACCATTCAACTTTACATATCCAAGTAATGTGGCATTACTTGGATATGTAAAGTTGAATAGTGATGGCTCCTTTGTAACAACTAAATAGCTCCTTTGTAACAACTAAATGATGCTCTTTTACTATACTTTGATGAAATTTGTCATTAATTTGTTGTTGTATGAAAGAGTTATTTTTTCTCCCATCAAATAAAAATGAAAACCAACATTTCGCTTACGAAGCACCATATCTCTACACTTCTGTTTTTCTCTAGCTACTTTCGACTTATCCATAATCATAAGATTACCTTATCTCTTATATTGAGGTCTTTGAAAAATGCTGTTGCTAAAGCAGAAGCCACTCTATCAGAAATGCCAAATCTATCACATATCATGGCAAATTCCAATGCGTCATATCTTGACGTGTAACGACCACGTTTTGACGATGGTTCTTCAACTGTTTCACCAACAGTTACTTCATACGTTTCAAATTCATATGTTGGATCGTTACTACTCAGTATTGTGGGTATTTCTGAAAAGATTTCCTCTGAAAATTCAATTAATGATGGCCTATATTGCGGTATTGTAAGTTTTCTGTCATTATGTTGGTCCCATATAAATTCTTTCAATTGTACAGGAATCAATCCAAAAAGAGCAGTTTGTTATTTTTAATTCACATCTACATTTTTCAATAAAAAATAGATTTTCTAATGAATCAACGAATTTCTGAAATTTTCCAATTAAGTATTAATGTTTAATCACATTTTGATATTTACCAATTAAGGTATTCAACTTTTTTAAAACACTTTTTCTATTTATAATTTCAATATTATTCCATATTTCAATTATTTTGTCTGCAATAGGCGAAGTAAAACTTTTATAAGAAGGTTTTTTATTTTGAAATTTAGAGTGATCGCTCAAAAAAAATAATATTTTAAAACATTGCTAATTAATGTCACATAAATCAGTTGATTTACCGAAAATATCAACAACCTGAGAAGGAACTGTTGATGGTGCTTCTGATAATTCTGTATTCGATGTAGATGGCTCCATAATATTTTTCTAATAATTAAATATTTTTTTTATATTTGTAAAAGCAATTATTATTTATTCTACTTATTAGTATTATTAGTATAATACAACCTTTAATAAGAATTAACAGAGCTTACCGAATATAGGTAATTAAATTGTAGAATTGATTAGATTAGAAGAACCGCTATTAAATGTGCACGGTGAAAAGAATCACGATAAAAAGAAGACTTTTCAAAAGATTTGCACCGTTTATCGCACAGATTGACGCAAAAAAATATGATAAGAATAATTCACACCTAATATCGCTGCCAACATCCATCGGTAAAATATTTTATTATAAATAAATAATGCAAATGCAAAATGCAAAATTTTATTGGTATAGAATAACTTAATACTTATATAAATAGGAAGCAGAATTATTTTATTTTTAATACATGTGAAAAGTAAGCATTCGAATAATATACCGCTAAAAAATATGATAAATTTAATATAAATTGCTTAATAGCGCCCCCTAGCAGTGGTTTAGAAAAAATATAAATGCCGAAAACGCATTCCTCGCACCGAAAAATAGTTTGGTACACAAACAAAATAAAGATACAATTGAGCATTATTTGATTAGGTAAATAATAATACAGTACTGTTAAACAAGACTTAACTTTGAAAAGTGGGGGCATCAAAATTGAATTTAGACCTATGGTTCTTTTAGCATTTTTGTTTATAATTTCATATAGAATCAGAATATACTATATGCTTTATTTGAAAACTTTTATTAATACAATTTGACCCGCCCTAATATATATATACATATATATACATATATATATACATATACACATATATATATATATATATATATATGTACAAGTATATATATATATACATATATATATAAATAAATATATATATATACACATATATGTATGTATATATATATATATATATATATATATATATATATATATATATATATATATATATATATATATATATATATATATATATATATATATAAACAGAAGCATAACAACTCAAATTTCAAACAAGATATGGCATGGCAAGATCTTTATTTTTTTCAAATGAACTTTACCCATGCATATTTTTTATCATTTTTTTATATGCGTAATTATGATAAAGGTTGGAAAATGATAACAATTTACATTGTAATTGTAAAATCAACAATTTGCAATAAACTAATTTAAAATAAAAAAATGTATCATTTTTTATTTTAAATTAGTTTATTGCAAATTATTGAATATTATATGAATTATATTAATGAAATGTTATTTTACTTTTGGATAAGCGATTCTTGTAGCTTGATCAAGATTATTAGCAACAAGAGTGTCTTTCAGTGCAAAATAAAAAGCATTGCGCACATCCTCCGTCTTCAACTTTACCAAATCAAAAAGTCTTGGTACATTTTCAGGTCTAAAAAGAGTTGTTATTAAGCCAATTAAGAATACGCTCTAAAAATAATATGTTTTAAGCACATAAATTATGTTGTGAAGAAACAATTTTAAACAGTTAAAATATACAAATTATGCATATAATATAATAATAGACAATTACTTATTTGCATTATTTGATTTTACAACAAAAAATTTCTAACAGTTTTAACTTCTAACAGTGTAACAATATTGACTAAATAAGTAATAACATGCAAATGTTAAAGAATATCAGTGTGCCCCAGTAACAACCTTTGGTGCTATATTGATCCCATAATCTTTAAAAATATTGGAAAGCAACTATTAACTTATAATGTTGAACTTACACGAATAATAAAATGGAACCAAAATACAAAAAATAAGTTCAATATTGTTAAAAGTCTAAGATTGATTTGTTATTTTGGTTAGCGGTTTAAAGCTTAATTTTAATTAATTGTAAATAAAAATAAAATGAACTTAATTAAATGTTAAATGCATTAGTTTTATATGATTTCAAATAAGTAAGATTAAAAAAATTAATTTCTAAATGAACTCTATAAGAAGAAAAGTATACCACTCTTATGATATACTTTTACATACATTTTAACAATACTGGTCAATATTATTAAAATGTTGCCATTCTATTAGAATTGACATTCCGTAAAGAACTTTTATTAAGTTTAAAAAAAAAAAAAACTTACGTGTTTATTTTTGAATTTGCTTTTTGTTCACAGTTACTAACCTAGAAATAATAGTTAATGTCATTTTTCATTTAGTTTTTAATTATATGTTATATATTCATTTAAACTATATATTCAGTTTTTTATTTATTTACATTTATCAAAATTATTCAAAGGTACTAAGCTAAATACTCTTTTGACAAGCCTCTATAGAATTCTTTTTAAAGGACAAATGTCTATTTGTAAACCTGATGGCAAATAGTTTAAGAATTTCTATTTCCAGACACTTGAAAATTTTCTACCTAGTGAAAAAGCCAGTTGAATTATTCATATTTTAAATAATATTTTAAAGCAAATTTTAAAATTAAGTCTTTAATACTATTTTAATATTATGACAGGATTGTCACCATGGCACAGCATCAAACATAAACTATGTAAAATTGTTCCTGATAATAACATTAAACTGATTCTGTAAAAAAAATGTTTCTAGTTGGTAAGATTCTTTGGCAGTAGTGAAGGTTCAAATGAAAATTCACTTAGAATATTAACGAACTTCTTCTATTAATCCCATTTTTGTGTGGTAAAAAAAAGAGCATGTAAACCCTCTTAGTGAATGTGTCCCAATAAAAATACTTTTCTGAACTAAAATAGGTTGACGCTTGGAAGGACATCCAGTTGTAAAAGTTAACTCTAAAACCAGGTATCAAGCTTTAAAAAGAAAATTGACATATGAAAAACAGCATTGCATGTTAACAAGAGATGCATCTGAGGATCAGTTGGTCTCAGCTGAATCACTGATCCAAAATAAATCATTGGTCATTAATAAGTATGTTACAGTGGCCAGTGTTAGTTTTAACACCAGTCTACCACTTTGGAAAGCTGCTGGAGAGTGTCAGTGTAATAAAAAGTGTGAGATTGAAGGTGGGGCCAGTCAATGTGGGGTCTTTGCCCAAGAAAACATTTGTTGAAACTGTAGGTAAAAGAAAAGACACGGTGCCTGCAAAAGACTCACTGAAATGTTGGCAGTATTGAAAATGATGATTTCAAACTCTTTCAGGTTAAATGTGAAAAAATGTAAAGAGTTAGTAGTAGGAAAGAAAAAGCTAGGAAAAAAATTACAGAAAAGTATTTGATTAGTAGTAGAAAATAAAAAAATACTGAAAATGAAATGTTAGAATCTTTAAATGATAGGGAATTAACATTCTTGTAATACATGGTTAACAAAAAATGTTCCAAAGCAAGTAACTTGTTTTGTAACTATGTTTCCTAGTATTTTAACTTTTTCTCGATTTTAAAGTAACTTATAACTTAATAGTGGTTGCTTGCAATCTTGTTGGAAGTAAATAAAAGTTTAAAAAATTTTTTTTTTCTAACCCTGGCTATCAACCCCTGCTAAACCTTATACTTTTGCCAAGGCTGGGTTTGCAAAAAGTCTTCTTTAACCGGGGCCAGGACTGGGGCCAGGACTGGGGCCTTGGTCACTTACTATCTCTTATGTATATATACCTCCCTGCATGCTTTAAAAATTTTTTAGAGCATGCAGGGAGGTATATAATAGGAGCATTCATCTAGTTTTTCATCCGTACTTTATCCCTTTGGAACTTCATGTTTTCTAGACTCATACAACCTACAACTTTTCAAGTCTTCTGTCAACCATTTCCTTGCTTTTTAACATTCTTTGTTTTTCTAGTAACTCCAAACTTAATAGGGGTTGCTTGCAGCCATATTGGAATTAAATCAGAATTTACAAAAAATGTATACTTTGAAGCCTATAAACATATGATTTCATAAAATTATTTATCTAGATATGATAATAAGATGTGTGATTTGACTCTAAAAGCAAAGAAAAGAAATCAAAAATCGTAGGCAGAGATTGGAAATAGCACCTTATCTAATAGAGTACATTAGGAAAAACTATGCTGATTTGAGCATTTAGTCTAAAAAAATTAAACAATTATATCACCATGTAAAGAGATGGTGATTTTAGGATAAAAAGTAGTAAAAAGTTAGATTAAAGTTTGGGCTATCATGAAAGCAAGGACACTAATATTATGATGATGCAAAAAACAGTAAGAAAAGAAAAATGAAACATTAAACATAAAAATAATAAAACTTTATGTAATGACATATTGCTATGCTAACCCATTTTATTTTATCTTTATATAGGATTATAATCAATAATTGACTTACTTTATCCAGAGCAATAAACGTTGTGGAGCCAATATTGTTTTTCTTTAAAAATTGCACTCCTTTCTGTGCTGTATCCATAGTATCAACAACAATAAAATCTAATGGACCACATGCAGTGCTAATAGCTATATCATATTTATTTTCAATAGCACCAAGATCTCCCTGAAAGAAAAATATTTTAAAACAAAAAAAAAAGGAAAACAAACAACATCACATACAAAAAAGTAGTATTTTTAATTTTCTTTATTAAAAGAATAAAAATAAAATCAAATGTGTGTTATGAAGTGAAATAAAAATGAATAACAAATCAAGTTAATTTACAAACCACACAAGGGATTTCTAGACTTATTCAAAATGATCCAAGTATTAGAAGAATTAGAAGTTTTATTAAAGAGATCTCCATATACAAAAAAAAAGTGTGAAATAAACTCTATACTTGATATTAGGCATGGTCTAGTTGCATGCAACAGAGCTTTTACATTCTGTTCTGAGTTTACATTATGGAATTTAAAAAGCATTTTTTAATAGAAGCATAATAAATACTGTATGACACTCCAGCTAGGAGAAATGACTACAACAGTTTCCCTTGGTTAAATTGGTAATCACTATATTACTAAATTAATTGAAGACCAATTTGATGCAGATCCTTTAATTGAAATATGAGACAGCATTGTAAATTCATGTAATTTAACTTTTAGACATAAGTAATGTTGAAGAAGCCTTCCTTAAATAGTTTTTATTTGATCAAAAAAGCTTTAAATGACCTTTTGACTGTTTTAAAATCACAATTTTTCAGTTATGTTTCCTACTTGTTCAAAATCTACTTGATACTCTGACTGATCAATAAATAATTCCTTAATATAAAGAATTCAATCAGATTCAATAGTTTCTCATTGCATTATGACAAAAAATTCACAAAAAGTACAAACTACCACATCAACTTGAGCACAAGGAAATAATTATGTCTATGTAAAAATGTTTAGGTAGAGTAAAGATTTGGAAGTTTTCAAACAATTCAATTTATTTTATTACCAAATTTTTAATTATTCAATTCAGGCTATTTTTTTAAGATAAGTTTTCAATTCAATTCAAAACACTTGAAAAACACTTAACATTAAAAGTTAAAAAATTTTCAGAAAACTTATAATGAAGGTTTTAATTAAAAATTTACAGATTTACCTAAAAAAGGTTTATGAAAATTTATATTATCAGTAATATAGTGTATGTTTATTAATAACCAAATAACAGTAGTTGTATATTATTGTATAATATTAATGATATAATTTGTATTATTATAATGTCTGTATAACAACTAAATATATTAATAACTATATAAATAAACTTACAGATTTAAACAATCTGTAAAGTTGAAAGAGTAATTTAATTAATAAATAATTTAAATCTTTACTAATCTTCCATAGATTCCAGGAATTCTTCCACTTTCTTTTTCCTTCATAAGAGCATCAAGCACAGCATCTCTTAAAATTTCAAACAAATTCTTGAACTGATAATTATTAATACATTAGATATTACAAATTTACTAAAATAAAACTTCTGATACTAATTTATTAAATGAGAAGTTTAGTGGTTAAAAACATATTTATATTTTGGAAGGGAATAAGATTTCATTATTGTTATTAAATCATTTTCTAAATTAATAATTCGCAGACTTCTTTGTTCCTTCAGACTATGACATTTCAAATAAAAAACTAAATTAATCATAGAAGCAATCTTTTTGTTTGTAAAATAACAAATATTATAACTTTACCATATGGTACTCTGCAAAAGTAACTGGACAAAGCACAAATGGACACAACTTTTTAATGAAAAGTCAATGAAACAAGTTAAGCACAGTACTACAAGGGACATGCTGGGGACCGAACTTGGAACTTATGAGGCGAGTGCTCTACTACTACACCTCTACCCTAGGGTGTCCCAAAAAACAACATTTTTGAAAATAATCTGCTCTAACCCCCTAAATATGTTCTATCTAATACAAAAACACTAGGTTTAAATTTTTTTTGAATAAAAAATATTTTAAGGGGTCCCTCAAGACCCTTAAATATTTAATGGGTCCCTAATATTTTCGAAAAAGTTTTTCAAAAATATGTCAACCTGGTACTCAAATAAAGCAAAATTATATAAATATTTCAAAAATAATATTCATTTCGAAATATTTTTAACTTATTTATTAAAATTATCATAAAAAAACATTAGAAATGCATTTTTTTCATTTTTTCTTGAAAAAACTCAATTTTTTATGTAATAAAACAAAAAATAACAATTTTGTTTCGAAATGAATATTATTTTAAAAATTTTTATATAATTTCGCTTCATTTGAGTACCAGGTTGACATATTTTTGAAAAACTTTTTTTTCGAAAATATTAGGGACCCATTAAATATTCGAGGGTCTTGAGGGACCCCTCAAAATATTTTTTATTCAAAAAAAATTTAAACCTAGTGTTTTTGCATTATATAGAACACATTTAGGGGGTGAAAGCAGATTATTTTCAAAAATGTTGTGTTTTGGGACACCCTACTCTACCCAATAACAAAATTACAAGGTTGAAAAATTTACAAAGTACTACCACATGTACAAAAGCATCAAGTAATTTGAAAAAATTAATACCTTGATTGAGAAGCATGCATTGCACTTCTGCACTCTTCAAACTTATGACGGTTTTTTTTTACCTGTAAAAAAGTTTTGTTTGTTAAAATGAAAGTTTGAAATTTCTTTTTTTTATTTTATTATTTTCTTTTTTATATTTGCATAGAATTACTCTTGCATAGAAGCTCTTTATTAGAAATTATTTTAATAAATCCAAATATTTCAATACATATGAACTATTTTAATGATTTTCCTTATTGTTTTAAATAGTAAGGTTGACTGAATAGTGATTAAATATTAGTCAATTGATTTAAAATAAAACTGTAATTAACCAAGTCAACACAAAAAAGGTAATTAAGTATGTAAGTTCAATCATCTAGAACTCATAGAAAAATCTTGCTTTACTAATAAACAGTCTAATTATCCTTATTAGCTTGAACTAAAAATAATTCAAGCAAAAAAGACATTATTAGTAATGAATTAACAGGAAAGTAAAATTATAAAAATGTTGTAAAATAGCCGAAAAAAAAACTTAAAACATCTCTTTAAAAAAAAAACTTCAAAACAAAAGTATAACTTAATAAAAATATGCTTTATGCCTTAATTCAAGCATCAAAATATATATTAGTATATAACATCAAGTTAAAATATTTTAAGTACTAAACAGAACGATAATACTTTCAATAGATAACTCGCTTTGTTTTTGTTTTTATAAAAAACACCCAAAAATTTTATTAAGAAATTAATAAATGTTTTATAACATTTTTAGTGAATATAATTTCAACATTAAAATTTAATTGCAAATAAATATTGATGTAAATACATATTTATTTGCAATTAAAAAAAATGTTTTGTCTATTTTAAATATTAAACAGACTATCTTCCATATTTTGAGATAACTGAGTGAAGAACTTTTTAAAATATATGCATTTTTTAATAATTGAAAAAAATCTTGTTTTTAATACAAAGTTTTAATTTTCAGTTTAGTTATAACAACATACATCAAGCTTAACTTTTATGTTCTTTTAAATAAAAAATGTTTCTTTTTGTTTAGGAATCTCCCTTATATTTCAACATCACTATAAACTCACTTCAATTGATAAATCTTTTTCATTTTGTGTCACTTGTTTGAGTTCTTTCTCTGCACTATCTAGTTCTTTTTTTGTTGATGGTAAGTCTTCTTCAATAGCAATCAACTGTCTAAAATTAGTCAGAAATTAAAAAAAAAAAAATGAAAACAATCATAAAGCAAAAAAAAAAAAAAAAATGAAGACAATGACCGAGCTAAAAAGAAAACAAAAATATCTTTATCGTGATTTTTTTGTTTGTATACACTTTACATTATATACACTTTACTGATTATATACACTTTACTTATATACACTTTACATTATATACACTTTACATTATATACACTTTACATTATATACACTTTACATTATATACACTTTACTTTATATACACTTTACTGAGAATTTGTCCTTGATAAAATTAAATGCTACTTAAATACTACTGAGCCATAATAAAATAATGTACAAACATCAACTAAGTTTGCATTGGAGCAGGGTTGTTTTGTCTAAGGCTAGCAGTGAAACAAAATTTATAATAAATTAAGACATTATTCAATTTAACACCTTTTTTTCTCTTCGTTCTGTTCCTTAGCTTTTTCAGCATTTGACTTGGCTTGCTCTAGCTGCTCATTTAACTTTGTGTACTTGCTTAAATAAATCTCTAATTCACTTGACAGCACATCTAACTAATGGTTAATTTCAAGTTAATTATCAAATTACAACTTATTTCAAATTACAAAATTATTTTATATTTTTTTTAATCAAATACTATGAGAGCAAAAAAAACAAAATTTTATTTTTAATTTAAAAATAACTTAGCAACCTTTGACTTAGCTTCGTTAACTGACTTTTGACTTTCCATAAGTGCAAGCTCTTTAGACTATAGAAATTTTGTCAATAAATTAAAACAAATAAAAATAAAAAATTATTAAAAAAAAAATATTAACAATAATAAATCATAAAGAAAACTGCAAAAAATGACTATTTTAAGTTTTCTTTGCAAAGCTTATACATTTTCTTATTTGAATCCAATTAAAACATTTCTCAATACTGGTATTTTGATTTTTCTGTATTTTTCATATGTTTATTTTGATAACTTAATCTGCATCTCACCCAAGCCAAAACCCATAATTCAATACTTGTACAGATATATTACCCTAAGTGTCAACTATGGTTTGTTTATTTCTGCATATCCATGTGTCAATCAATTGTGTGTACATTTGTTTATGTCCATCTCTGTTTAACTATTACAGTCATATATCATCAAAGTATTTAAAACTTTAACAGTTATTATAACATTATTTTTCTTTTTAATTAAAAATTATGAAGTTGGTTAAACTTTAAAATTTGTAAAATCAAATTTAAATGAAATCATAAATCAGTCAAAACTAAAAAAGATTATTGAAAAAAAAAACAGTTTGTTTTTGTAGATATAACCGTGATATTTGTAGATATAACTGTTGTTGTCAACTGTGACAAAGAGAAAAAATTTTTAAGATTTATTATTGGATTAACTAATTAACTATGACACAAAAAAGCTGTTATTTATTTCTTTTTATTCCACATGTTTGTAGTTAACTTATAGTGATAACTGTGCGTAAACATTTTATTATAGTTTAGAAACACCAGCTTTTTTTCAGTTTTTAATGCATCATCTTTCATATACTTTTTTAAATGTGCTTCATACTATTTAAATTTAAAATACAAACCACAAAAATTATATAATTTAATTGTTTTTTTAAAAAGACTTCAGTGAAAAAGTTTAGAAACAATTGAACTTTTAATAATATTTATTTCAAAAAAACTGAAATGTTGAACTTTTTAAAATGAACTGAAATAAACTAAAATGAACTTTGAAACGAACTTTGAAATGAACTTTGAAATGAACTGAAATGAACAATTGAATTTTTATTACTATTGATTTCAAAAAATTTTTCTAATTTTTATAAGCTCTATAAAATATATAAAAATTAACAAAATGTTGTATATTGTGTGAAAATTTAAATATGCCTTCATAAAGAAAAAGTTGATTGATCAAAAATTTAAAAATTAAATATTTAAATTTCTCAAGTCTTAAATTGTCTCAAAATGAAACAATTAAGTTTAAAACATTTAATCTTTTTACTTGAAGATTTCAATCTAGAATTATATTTAAACTCTATAATCTTATTATATTTTGTGTAATTATATTAAGATTATAGAGTTTAAATATAAATATTAAGATTATATTATATATAAATAATAAATAATTGAGAATTAAATAGTATGATTATTAAACAAAAAAAACTATGCAAATATTGTATATGTACAAATATACAAAAAATTGCAAAATGATTTTTAAAAAACTAACTTCTTTTTCTTGTTGTAAACCTTCAGTTTCATTTTTTAAACCTAATAAAAAAAAAATAGTTAAAAAAATTGCTTATTAAATTTTTCACTTTTCACTTGCACTTTAATTTTTATTTCTTTTTTATTTGAACTTTTACTTTTTTGTTGTATGTATATATATATATATATATATATATATATATATATATATATATATATATATATATATATATATATATATATATATATATATATATATATTTATATGACAAATTAATTTCGGACTCATTTTTAAGAAATTTATATTTTTAACAAGAATACTGAAATTAAAATACAAACCAGCCATTATTTCAGTGAGCACATTTTCTTCAAGTTGTTTTTGAATCTATGAGTATATGTTACATATGAGTATATGCTGCAAAATTGTTCAAAAATTATTTATATTTATATTAGATTTAAAAAAAAACATAAATATTAAAAAATAAATAGAATACATATAAACTATGTATGTATAGGAATCATTAGTATACAAAGAACATCTGTAACTATGACAATTAACATTAAAATTAATAAACATAAAATTTGACATAAAAACATAATAAAATAACAAAATGTATTTACCTCTAGTTGCTTCAAAGAAGAAGTGCATTGTTCAATTTCAGCTTCACTTTTTGCTGGAATAGTCTTTAATTCTTCTAGCTAAAATAAAATATAAAACTAGATTGCATAATATTAGTATTCAAAAAAACTTATTGTTAGCAATAAAAACAAAACATAAAACAAACTTGATTTTATAAGGTGTGCTTGATTTAAAACTAATCAAATGTTGAATTATAATTTGTATAACATTTTAAAAGAGCAAACAATTTTATTATGGATTGTCCCAAATTTTCGGATGAGAAATTTTTAAATGATGAAAAGTTTTCAAAAAATTTAAAAAAACATAACTTGATCTTATTTTTAAAAACATATTTTTTTTATTTAAAGTGCTATTATATATATATAACTAGGGGGGGGGGGGGGGGGTCCATAATCATCTTTTTTAAATTTTTTTATAGTTTAACCAATTTTTCTTAGTTAGTTTTTCATGCTGATTCTGAAAATCATAATCATTTTTTTTCATTTTAATTATTTAGCCTTCTACTTCGATTTTAATAAAAGTGAATATATTGACAAAATTAAAATAGATGAAATTATTATTATCATTAAATATAAGAAAAGTAGAAAAGTAGAAATCTTTTTCTGTTTAAATTATCAATAATATACCTGATTTATAAGTAACAAAAAAAATTAAGCATTATATATGAAAATAATTCATACAGTTTGTTGTTTAATATTGAAAATGGAAAATAACTATAAAAGTCATCATATGTGATAGAGATTGCTGCGGGAACTTTCCATGTAGATTTTCAATTTTCAATTCATAAACCCCCAAATATTTATACAACTGATATAGACCCCCTGCAGGTTGTCCAAAGTGGTCTATATAGACCACTTTGGGAATCTCTGATCTAGGTTATGAGCGTGTTCTTTGGTAGACATAAGATAAAGGTTTGTATTTTTATATCAACAATCATGTATTTAAGCAGAATAGACCTCAGCGACAATGACCTACATTGTATCCCTAAAATAAAGAACCTCATTTTTCAAACTTTTTTTTCATTTTAACATATCTTTATCTACTTCAATAATGTCTAGTTCACAGCTAAATGGGCTGCCTTGTAACTTTAATCAAACTAAAATAGAACTCATCTTGCACACCTGATGTAAAGTTTACTGCTCTTCCATTGTTATCCATTTGTTTTTGTAGCTGGTTTCAACTATTTTCCACTTTTTAGACAAATAATTGGACAATAATTTTCCAAAACATTTTTAAACTACGCTAGCCTTTATTTTTTATATGGTTTAAATAGTTAAGTATACATCTACTGTTGAAATTGAATGGTTTTTTTCCAAAGCTTTCCAACTGCAACAACTTAATTAGAAAGTTAATACTAATCATATTCCATCATCAACCAAACACATAATACTTTTCTTTTTTTTGAAGTTCTGAGGATAACTTTTTCCAAAATACTCTAGCAAGAATGATACAATCATTCAACCTCTTTGAGGTATACTTATAAACTGCTTCTAGAACTTTTTTTAACTAGCTAATCACTGCGTTTTAGAGTAAAGCAGAAAATTTCAAAATTTGATCACCCAGTTTTTCTTTTTTTTTTAAAGCTTTTTAGGTAGCAGTATTCCTTTAGCCTGTTTATCTTTAGAGTTGTTAAACCTTTGGAATTTAACTGAACTTTTATTGACTAGCACTTTAAAAGAAGATTTATTCTTGACTTCATTAAAGAAAAATGAAAAAAAAAAAAGAAATCTTGAACAGCCTTCTTGATAGCTTGAATAACGATTAAAAATAAATAAAAACAAGGAAATTAAGATATTTTGAAGCAATCTGTCTTTTTAATTACTTAAAACGTTTTGTTTAGAAAGAGACTTCTGATAAAACTTTTTTTTTTGAAGTAATCTGTCGTTTTACTTATTTAAAAGGTTTTGTTTAGCAAAAGACTTAAACTTTTTTTTTTATAAAACGCAACGATTAAAAATCAAATTTATCCAATCAAAATTTGAATAGCATAAATTTGAAAAAAAAGTTGCATAACTTTATATGCAAAAAAACTTTTGCAAAGACTTTTATTTTTTATATCTTTAAATTTTTTAAATAGAAATAGAAGGTCAACCATAAAAATTTAGCAAAAACTGAATTGTTTTTTGAACTTTTCTCAAAAAATTAATTAAGCTTAACTGGTTAAACAAGAAATATAGAATTTTGGACCCCCCTTAATATAACATATATAACATATTTTATTTAAAAAAATATTTTTTTAAATATAAAGTACCATTTATTATTACAGCAAATTATAGTTAATTCTCGATAAGTTTAACAATGGTTAACTTGAACTTTTATTATCTCATTATTTAATATTTTATTGTAAAAAATATATTTGGTCCCTTGTAATCATCTAACTGATTACTATTAAATAATTCTCTGGTTAAGTTGAACCTTGGATAACTCAAACTTAGTTAAGTTGAACTATTTTTCATCCCATTTTAGCTTTCTTTGAATAAGTCAAACTTTTTGTATGGAAAATCAAAAATATTGACATTTTTGATTTTCTATACAAAAGTCATTCCATATAAAACATAAATAACTGTAGCTTAATATTTTCTTTTTACTTATAATGACATAATAAAATTGTTAAAAGATAAATCATGATAAAAAAACAAAAAAATTAGTTTATAGTTAAATGAATTTCTAAATAAAATACCTTTTAGATGCAATTTTATTACCAAATAATAAGGAAGTCCGTTAACTTCTTTATTATTTCAATAAACATTTTCAAATGTTATCTTTTGACAGTACTGCGTAAATACAATCACTTATTTCACTGAAACATTAGTATAACGGTGTAAATTTAATGTATATAAAATTATTATATATAAATTAATATATATTAAATTATTATATATAAATTAATATATATAAAAGTTATTATTAATATATATAAAAGTTATTATATATATAGTATATAAAATCTATATAAAATTTAATGCTTATATTTTAGCATTGACAAAAGAAAGCCTCGACTCAAACTAATATAGAATACCAGCCAAAGTTCAACTTAACAGGGATTCACTTTAGTCGAACCGTTTCCTTGGTCCCTTGGAGGTTCGAAATACCGGGAATTAACTATATATTTAAGTAACCATATAATTATAATAAATTACATAATTAAAGTTGTTCATCTTTCATAAGACTTTACAAAAGAAAAAAGAATGTTAATAAAAATAATTATATTATAGAAATGCATAAAAACAATCAATAAAAATGGCTACATATATTATATTTAGAAAATATTAAAAATAAATAACTAAAACCTTTATTTTTTCTGTTTCGAGAGACTTTTCAAGTGTTTTCTTGTTTTTTTTTCTGTGTTTTAATTCCTTAAAGAAAAATTTTATCAAATATAATAATTATTCATTGGAATAAATATACCATTATATATGTAAGTAATATGTAACATGTAATGTACCAACTCCTACAATTAGAGTCCTGCAGATAAATCCACAAAATCCAGAAAAATAGTGTTTAAAGCTTGACTGTTAAAAAACTGCATCTAGATTTTTTGTTAAAAGCTAAAACTTTGATATTTTTCGTATCTTACATTTTAAAAAATCCATTAATTGTAAAAACAAATAAAACCTATTGTTTGAACTATTAAATAAGTTAGATCAATATCTAGCTTGATTTATCAGTTAAATATTTTCAACCTACTTATTTTTTTTAAATAGTTAAATAAAGTTTTGTCAAAAAGTTTTTCCATAACAATGCCTACTAAAAAATAAAAGAACATTCAAATGACTTCTTTCCGCAAAAAACTCTTTTGTCTAACAAAAAACATAGACAATATTTGAAATTTATGAAACTCCTAGATACATAGACCATCCAGACCATATCTTAAAAATCCAGAAAATTGTTTGAGTAAAATACCCAGAATAAATTTTCCTCTTAATTTTGCTTTTAGCTAAGTTGTTTCTAATTTTTTTTTTAAACTTTTCGTAGTTTCATATGAGTGATGATTGAAAATGTTAGAAAAAAATATTACAAAAATATATATAAAAAATATTACAAAAATATAAAAATTTTTTGCTTAAGGTTAGAATATTTTATTACTAAAGATCATAACAATTCTACTTAGTACTAAATGTTGAACAAGGGTATGGTAACAAGGGTAGAAAAAGTAGTTTTAAGATATTTTAGTCATATAACGCACGTTATGTGTCTTATCTATTAGCTTCTATCATTTTACTTTTCTGTTAGCTTCTATCATTTTACTTTTCTGTTAGCTTCTATCATTTTACTTTAAATACATTTTAACAATAATTTATAGCATAAATAAAATTATGAATACAAAATTATTTTTTATTTATAGTTTTATTTAAAAATTTTTAAGATATGATTTAAATTTTTTTTTTTTTGCTTTTCTTTTTGGCAGGCTCCACTACGAGGACTCTCATGTGATTGGAGTAGTTATCTATATAACAGCATCAGACAATTGTGAATAACAATTCTAAATCCTAAAGCGTTAGACAAATGTAGAAATAGTTTTATACCTATAGAAATATTTGAATGAACTTGCTATGGAAAATGACACTCTAACAGTGAAAAATTGTTTGCCCTTTACTAAAATGTGAATTCTAACGGGATGTTGAACATAGAAGTAGTAAAATAAGAGGAAATTTTACTTACCTAATATGTATAATGAAATACATTAAAGTTAATTTGAGCTTTACATTAAACTTTATAAACATAAAAAATTATAATTTTTTATATTTGTTTTAAATTATTGTTGCAATCTGATTTGAAAAACTGTTTAAACTTTGTTGTTAAATTTATAGCATCAATTTTGGCATGTTAAGAGAAGCAATGTTTAAATAATTCATTTTTGCAGCTTATGTATTGTAAAAAAATACCAAACAAAAAAATTTAAATTTTATGTTTAATGATTTGACAATTATAGTTTTACTTTAACTTATATTTTTCTCAAAAATGTTATATGTTGTGTTATCAAAGTACCAAGTTTTATTTAGCTAAGCTTGCAGCTGAGAGTTGATTAAAATAAATTTGTTTCTCCGAGCAGCAGCCTTGTTTGTCGAGATTCGTGTTTCGGAGCTATAGAGTTGAGAGAGGGTTATAACCACTATTAAATTGCCTCCTCATCTGTAGTGACCTTCTTGGCCTTGACGAGGTGAATAACAAAAAAATAAAATTAAAATAGATTTAAAAAATCTAAATTAAAAAAAGGATTCTCCAAAAAAAAAAAAAAAAAAAAAAAAAAAACTAAAACTAAACACTAATTAGTCTGACTTATTTTAAGTTTGATTAGTAGCAGAAGAATAAAGGAGATTTATTTTACAAAATATTTTGCAACAAAAGGCATTTAAAGCGATCTTGTAGATCACTTAGATACATAGCGATGAAATTGTGAATAGCCTTTTTGTTTAAAAATACAACAAACAACAAAAACAACTAATAGATTAAGATAAGCATTGTTTATGTATCAAAGCTTTTCTCTTGTAATTTTATAGTTTTAATCATAATCTTGAGTAATGTTCATTTACAATTTTATTTAGATTGTGTTTTAAAATTTTAAAAAATTGGAATAAAAATTAAAAAAAAAATTAGGTGATCATTACCTCTCTAAGTTTTAAATCATATTTTTCAAACTCAGCAAATGCTTTTTTTTTTTCTTCAGCTTCTATAAAAAGTTTATCATAAAGTTTATTCATTTTCTTATATTCAACTCCTTTCTCTTTCTTTTGTTCTAAGAAACTGCTGAGTTGTAGTTGAAGCTTTTCAAGTTGCTGTTTGATTTCCACTTCTTTGCTTTTTGTCTTTGATTCAATTTCTGTACAGTCATGGCTATAAACATTTTTCATTTTATAAACAAATTTTTTAAACATAAAAACCAGAGAAGTTAAACAACAAATTTATTAAACATAAGAACCATAGAAGTTAAACAGTAAACATTTTAAATATAAAAACCATAAAAGTTAAATAGTAAATCTATCAAAGATAAGAACTATGTTAGTTAAACAGCAAACTTATCAAACATAAGTTTGAGCCATAGAAATTAAATAGTAAATTTAGTAAACATAAGAAACAGAAGTTAAACAGTAAATTTATTAAAAATAAGAAAAAGGAGTTAAACAGTAAATTTATTAAACATAAAAAACAGGAGTTAACCAGTCAATATAACATAAGAAACACAGGAACTTAACCAACTCGTTTAGTATTGCAAAATAAAATTTAAAAAATACAATGTAAAATTATTTAAAAATTGAGAACTTTTTAAAGGTCTGGTGTCCACTCTGATTGAATACCTAAAGATAATATGGTTGAATACTTATTATCACAACTGCTTTTTACTTGCTGCAACTATGGTAGAAGGTTTACCTTGGTTGATACCTTGAACAGCTGTGATTAAAGATTCAAGACAAATAAAGTTGGAGGCTTAGGACCACTAAAATTGAACTTAAACCAAAATAGTAAAAGATGCTACTTTTTATTTTATAAACTAACAAAAGAAATTTCAATAAATTTTTGTAATCCTCAGTAATCTATATAACAATGTTGAACATAAGAGCCCTATCACTTTTTTTTCTAAGAAAATGTGAACGAAAGTGTATGCAAATATCTAACTTATGTAAATTTCAAATTATGTAATGTTAAAACATATCAAGTTTTGCAGTTTTATTTTTAATTGAAAATTGCATTGCGGCAGCATCTCCTTAATTTTGAATTATAACATTTATTTGCCATTTCATAAAGTCTTTTGTTTTTAAAGAAAAAAATATGTCATCTTTTTAGTTATGCTGTTTTTCTAGTATTACATACAAACGTCTGTAAGTGTAAACAAAAGTTGAGTTTGGGCTTGTAAAATACGGGTTGAGGAACAACCCGTATTTTACAAGCCCAGACTGCTAAGATATATATATATATATAAGGAAAAAGTATAGAAAAAGGTTGATGGGAAATACACTTACAAAGAACTGTAATTTTATGAGCCTGGTCAATTAATAAGTAATAATCTGTTCTAATCTAAAGAACTAATACTTTACATATATAATAGATTTTTTAAAGTTTTTTATAAAAAGGAGAAGACTTATATTCTTACAAGGGAATGCAAATGGGTAGCGAGAGTATTTGTCTACTACCTTGAGGATGTATTTATTAGCTGAGGTGGATTGTAAAGGTCCAACAAAGTCCATAGATAAGCGTTCCCAAGGTCTCGTTGCCTGAATAAGACGACCAGTTGGAGGTTTGTAGAAGCGCGGTTTGAGTTTGTTACAGGTTGTACATTGGTTTGTTAGTTGTTTAATTTCAATGGTAGAGTAGGGTAGATTTCGGGTTTTGCAATAATGTATCATTTTTTTAACTCCAAGATGACATAGTTGGGAATGAATATTGTAAAAGGTTTTATTGGTGTTTTGAATTGAGCAACATCAAGAAAGGGCATCAGCTACGATATTTTGATTTCCTGGTCTGTATGAAATTGTATAATTAATATCCGCTAATTCTAAACGCCATTGAGTTAGTTTTTCGTTTTTAATTTTTGTTGAAACCTGTTTATTGAAAATAAGGGAAATGGATCTTTGGTCTGTAATTACTATGATATATGGTACTGAATTAATTAGGTGTTTCCATCTTCTATAACATTCTACAATAGCAGCTGCTTCCTTCTTGACAATTGCGTGTTTTCTTTCAGCGTTTGTTAGTGTTCTTAAGAAGGCCACGGGTTTGCCTAGTTGAAGTAACGTTCCTCCCAGTGCTGTGTCAGAGCCATCTGTTTCAATAATTAGTAGAACTTTGAAATTAGAGGAGGCTAGACAAGCTTCTTTAAGTTGAATTTTGAGCTTTTTAATTGCTTCTTTTGCCTGTGGGGTCAAGCCCTTGGTTGGAAAGTTGTCTCTTGCTTGAGTAAGCGGTAGAGTGAACTCGGTACAGTTGTGTATCCATTTAGCGTAGTAGGTGAATAAACCTATCATTCGGTTTAATTCTCTTAAGGTTTTTGGTTCTGGCATATTTATAAGAGCTTCATATCTTTTAGGGTCGGGTTTTAAGGTTCCATTTTCAATGATATGGCCTAAGAATTCGATGTGAGTTTTTTTTAATTTGCTCTTTTCTTTGTTTATTTCTACGTTGGCGATTTGGGCTGCATGTAGGAAATGGCTAAGATTTTTATCGTGCTCTTGGTCATTTTTTTCTACTATTAATTATATCGTCGAGGTAAGCATATGTATTTTCTAGTTTATTATTCTGAATAAATTCATCCATAACCCGCTGAAAAATTGGTACAGCATTTGTGCAACCAAAAGGTAAACGTTTAAACTCGTATATTCTGCAATTTGCTTTGAATGCGGTTAGCTTGTAATCTTCAGGTCGTATTTTTACCTGATGGTAAGTCAATTTGAGGTCAATTGTATTAAAGACTTTATGAGCAGCTATCTTAAGTATCAAATCGTTGATTCGAGGTGTTGGGTATGAATCGAGTGGAGTGTGTAGATTGATTGTATTTGAATAATCAATCACAAGACGATTTTTGTTTCCTGATGATACTACAAAACATTGTGCACGCCAAGGACTACGGCTCATTTGGATTTTATCTTTCTTTAACATTTAAGTCTTCTGTTATAAAGGAGTTATTTTTAGGAACCCATCGTGATGTTGTAGCAACTGGCTTAATTTTGTCAATATCCACTCCAGGTATCAATGCGTAAGTAGTACACTTTATACTCTTTGTTGCCAGACAGAACTTTAAGGGCTCTTTATTACATTTAAAATTGATTGTAATTGAGGTATGTTGCGTTAACACGTCCATTCCGATAATTACCAATGCTACCAAGTTGTCTACAACGAGGAATTGCACTTTCAATTTTTCGCAAGCAAATAACAATGAGCCTTGGAAGATTCCTTTAATTTTTAATGTCGAATTATCTGCCAATGATACTTTCGAGGTAGATTGAGTATCGTAAGGAAGGTTTCAATGTTGAAGAAGTTCTGATGTAATAAACGTTTTATCGGAGCCAGTATCTATCAGTGCCTGTGTTATATTTTTGTCAATGGTGACATTAATTAGTCTATCAGGTGAGTTAATTGCTGCTATGACCGTAGATACTATAACGTTATCGTTTTCTTCCTGATATTCCTTAACAACTGCTGCTTTAGTGTAGGTCTTATTTTGCTTCTTTGAGAGATAGACAGTTGCCCAGTGGTCCTTTTTTGACAATCTGTATAGGTGGAATTTCGCGCTGGGCATTTAATTTTTGGATGCGGATCATTACCATACCAGTAAAAGTGAGATTTTGTAAGGTTACAACTTGCGGCAAAAGTTAGCAGCATAGTATTCTCTGTCATGGTTGTTGTCAAATTAAGAGCATTTTCAGTGGCTAATTCCATTGTTAGCGCTGTTTTATAAAGTGCCTCGAGATTGTCTTCTGTAGTTTCGAGGAGTCATTGTCAAATAGAAGGTGAGTAAATTCCAGTGACACTTTTGTCGCTGGAATTTACTCACCTTCACCTTAACAGTATCGTATTACTTATATAAAAAAGTATTAAAATTAAAATATTCTTACATATATTTTTGACAAAGAATGTAATTTTTTTTTGTAATATTATTTTCCATAACTAAAAATGTTGTTGCATCTTCCTTTTCTTGCTCAAGTTCTTCTTTTTCATTCAACACTACTTTGGCTCGATTCAACTAATATAAAAAAAACAAAAATTTATTTCAAAAAAATTAAATAACACTAACACCACAAAAGAAAACACTACCTTTTCAGATCTCTTCTCATTCAGATCCTCAACAGCTGCTGATAATTCATCTATCGGTACTTTATAAGAACTGGTTCCAATAATATCTTCAAGATATTCTAGCATTCCTTCATCATGTTCATTCTCTGCTTTTGGTTTCATTGTACTTATTTGTTCAACTTCTCCCTTAAAAAATATACAAATTTTGAAATATAAAAAAAAAGGTTAAAATGCATGTTCAAATTTCCAATTCTACTAATTCATCCCAGGTTTTACATATCTATTAAATAAAAATAACTTTTTAAAAACTTAACTTAATAAAAATTTATACTGCTAACTTTTATTATTTATACTGTTAGTTTATGGTAATTTATACTGTGTTTGTTATTTTATACTGTTAACTTGTGTTAATTTATACTGCTAATTTATACTGTTGATTTATGATAACTCTCTTAATTTACTCTTAATTTATGTCCCTAATAACTTAAATACACTTCTATGTCCCTATTAACTTAAATACTGTTGATTTATGATAACTCTCTTAATTTACTCTTAATTTATGTACACTCTTAATTTATGTCCCTAATAAATTAAATAAACTCTTAATTTATGTCCCTAATAACTTAAGTGAAGTTTAAAATTTTCAAGTGGTATATAGTTTTTTGTTGTAATATTTCAAAATAAATTTTTAAATATTCTACACTTTATTAATGAAAACATTTTGAACAACTTAACACTTTATTGCCAAATGCAAATTGAATTTTATGTTGTTGTATTTTTTTTAATTTATCTTATGTTTTATTGTGTTTTTTTTTCAATAAATCTTTTTTTTTAATATATTATTGGAACTATTTTTTATTTGGTTATTGTTGATACAGCACTACTAATACGAAAGTTCAGTAAAAAAGATGATTCTTATCAACTGCAACAAATTCCATGCTTTCCTACTTTTACCTCTACCTTTTTTATTTAAAACTGACAATTCTATACATGCTGATGCCCATCAGATAACTCACTATTCCCAATATCAAAGATTTTCACTTCTTTTTTAGACCTTAGACACCATCAAACTTCATTAATCAAGAAACAAAATAATCATGTAATAAATATCACTTCTGTTTACACACAAAACCAACAGCATTAGGAAAAACATTTATAACACTACATATTTTGTAGAACAACTGCTTACAAACCTTACAAACAATAGAGCTTTCTTAAAGTCTTTTTCTACTTCAAAAGTGGCCTAGTGGCCAACTTTATCATAACTTTTATGTTATTCATGTATATATACTGAACACTTATTTCCTTTCTACTTTTCCAACATTAAAAACTTACTAATGATTGTTCTTCTTTCTCAGCAATCAATCCTATGTCAACTGCATAGAATAGGTCTAATGAAAAACCAACATTAAACTCTTTAAAGAAAACCTCAAGACAGTATTAAAAAGCAAAGAATTGAACATTGAAAAATGATAGACAATTAGCTTTACTTCAAAACTTTTAAAAGTAATCAACAAATTCAAAATTCTAAAATTTATTTAAAAATTAGGATTCAAGTTTTTGTTTTTTCCAGTCAAATATGATTTCGTCAACCAAATTTTATTTCCTTTTTCAAATATTGCACTTGTTCTATTTGATTTTTTCCCTTTTTTTTTTTTTTTAATTTGGTACTTTTAAATGCATATTACAAGGGGAGTGGGAGTAAAATGAGGGAGGAATTTTATTTTGGATCTAATAAACAGAAGGAGAGGGGTGAGTTTCAATTCCTTATGCTTATACAGTTATGGAGATTTTTAAAACTACAGTACTAGCTAATTAACCTTGAAACTCAAGCAAATATCAAACTTGTAAGTAGATTGCTGGAAAAAAGTTTTTTAGGATCACAAATGTTAAAACTATTTATTAAATAACTCCTAAAAGCATTCGAATTCATAAAGAAAATTTAAATCAATATTTGATATACAGAATAATAAAAAATTTGTAAATTAATATGGCTCAAAACAGACAATTCACCAAAATAAACCAAAAATTATATCAGATTTTTCTCATACAATAACTATAAAATTATTCTCATACAATAACTATGATATTTTAGAATGGGATATCTTGACTATGTTCTTTGTGTATAAAATCTTTAATTAATTTAATATCAATAAAATATTTTATTTTAGAATAAAATATTCAGAAATGATTGTAGTTTTGGCTTTTTATAACTTTATAAATTTATTAAAAAGAATAAAAAATACTAGTACAAAAACCTGCAAAATAAGAAATCGGTTATGATCTATGTCAATACCACATGTCCTTAAAACCAATCCAATTTCTTTGAATGTTTGTTTTTTTCCATCTAAGTAATAATCAGATGATCCATCTTTTCTAGCAGTTCTTGAAATGGTAAAATGTGTATTTTCTACTAATTCAAAATCTTCACCAGGCTAAAAGTGAAAAAAATAATATTATTTAAATTATTTAAATAAATTAAAAATACAGTAGGGAAATTCCATTTCTGTGCGTGATTTTTCAATTTTCTTTGTTTTAGTAATTAAAAGCTGGGACTTAAAGCAATATGCATACAATTATGATTTTGTTAAAAAACATTTATAGCAAAAATATTTTTATCATATTTTAGGTTACCTGAAGTAAAATAAGTTAGATATATATATATATATATATATATATATATATATATATATATATATATATATATATATATATATATATATATATATATATATATATATATATATATATATATATTAATCATTTAATTTTTTTTTTTTGCCTAATAATACCGCTACAGTTTGAAAATAAACAACAATTTTCAAAATGCTATAGCTAGAGATAACTGATGACTGCCATTTCTCATTAAAAATATATTAAATATGAGTCGTAGAATTATAATATTTCACTTAAAATACTCATAAGCAACTTATTTTCTTTAAAATATCTACATGAAACTAACAAATTTGCAACTTCTGTGCCTGACTTCCGTGCGTGATCATTCATGAACTGCATTTAAACGATTGCTGTAACTCTATGAAACATAGTGCAATCTTGTAACTTTCTGGAAAGCTTTACTAATGTTTAAAACATTAATTAAAAAAGATATAACGCTAAAAATAATAAAATATATATATATATATCTTTTTAAACTAATGTTTAAAACATTATTTAAAAAGATATATATTTTATTATTATGAAAATAATAGACAAAACATATACGAGTTTCCGTGCGTGATTTTTTGGAAATGCCCAGTATTGAATTTTTTTTTTAGGTTAAATGATTGTCACAAAAAAAATATTTTTTATTATTATTTATGTTTAAAACATAGTAAACTTAGTGTTACCATTCATCAATTTATAAACATTATTATAACAATAGCAGTAAAAAAGTTTTGTTTTGGTTTAAATCCCCTAGACACTGCAAGATTCAAGCTGTCACAGAGGATTTAAGAACTTAATTCATAGCTACTATAACTTTAACAACATAAGCGAGATTAAATAGAATTATTAACAACAGCCTGTTTGTCTGGGATAGCAATTATGTAATAGGTAAGATTTGACTAACAAGGAGGCACAAACAAAAATCTGAGATTTAGCATTAATCATCCTAGGCAGTAAACAATGTAACAAAGTTCTACACCTACACCAGCCTATTACATAAAGATGGGATGCAAGGCTGCTCAACAATAGGTTCCTGCTAACCTTTACTAAGACTATGCTTAGACCTTTTACAAGACATTATGCAGTTTACATCTGATCAAGATAAGTATTTTTATTTAGACACCAATACTAGCCATTAACCACAAATTAGGAAAGTATTTTAATATAGTTTACTTTTCCTAGCTTTTACCTAAAATTTCAAGTCTTAAAAAGCAACAGAACATTTGACAGGATGTACTAGGTTACATGTTACCAGTAGCAGAATGATCCTGAACCTTTTTCTTTTCACTATTATAATAACTAATTAAAAAAGCAGTAGGATATTCTGCAGTTAGGGTTAATTGCAAAGGCATGCTGGCCCCCGAGGTTTCGTGTTAATCCTGCATGAGCCTTAAGACATTTATTTAAAAAAAACTTATTTTACTATATTTTAAAAATGATTTAATAATTTTTATTCACTATTTATGGTTCCACAAATTAAATATTTTAATAAACTGATTAAAAGTATTTTGTATCATTAAATGCCATTACCAAACATCGGTCTACATACAAAGTAGATTTTTAACAAATTATTATTTTTATGTCGCATGAATTGCTTTTAAAGATCATAATAAATTAAAGAAACCAAGAATTGACATATATTAATTAAATTAAATCAAGAGTTTTATTTTTATAAGTAATAAAAGAACATTACAAGTAAAACTAAATAGTTATTTCTCAAATAAAAAAGCCCATCCTTAAAACTATTTAGTTTTAAATTTGAATATTGCTTGTGTAACTTATCACTGGATTATTTAACTGCTATGAAACCATGGAATCAAAACAATGTCTTACCTTAAGTTGTAATTTGACAGCAAATAAAAAAAAAAAATTGTATCTTTATTAAAACTATGCTGTTTGAATAGGTAAAGATGTTTTTTCTCAAATTAAAAAAAAATTGCCATCAGACTAATTAAACTTTAGTTTTTTTAAAAGAAATGCCAAATTTTGATGGAAATTCAAGTTTTAATAGAAATTTTAAAGGAAGTTTCAGCTTTTAAATGTTTTGTATAAATGCAAAAAAAAGGTTATACAGTTATGGCCATTGAAATCCGACCACTGCTGAATATACAGTCTATGCATGCGAATAATCAATTTATTTTCTTCCCTTCTTCAGATTAGCGTTTATTTTATTGCACTGTAAAATTTATTAAGCTATATATCTATTGCATTAAATAAATACCACATCGACCAGGTGTTCGTGCTAATATTAAACTTTTATGGGAGGATGGTGCAAGTGAGCGTCAGATATCAGCAAGATTGCGAATGCCAAAATCTACTGTTCATGATATTACACAACTAATCAAAGACACGGGATCCACTGCGCCCAGAAAACGTTTTGGTAAACCTAGAATTACTAGCAAACAAACAGACAATATGAGACGCAGGGCTGCTGTGAGAGATCCAACAATATCCAGCACACAAATCAGGGCAGATCTACCTAATGACGTTACAGTCAGCACTCGAACAATTAGAAGACATTTATTGAAAGATGCAGGTCTACATTCTCGTCATCCAGACCTCAAACCGCGATTGTCTTTAAAGAACATCCGTGACAGGATCGCATGATTTGTAGAGCTCACAGACACTGGTCAATAACCAAATGGCGCCAGGTAATGTTCAGCGACGAGACACAAATAAAGCAATTCGCTCCGCATAAGTCATTAATTCGTCGCCCCCCCTAATCAGCATTTTAATGCAAGATATACCGTACCAGCTGTCAAGCAATGTCCTTCAATCATGGTATGGGGCGTGATAGCTTCATCTGGTCGATGTGGTATTTATTTAATGCAGAAGGGACAGACTGTTAACTCCCAACAATATCTAAAAATCCTTCAAGAAAAGGTTCCAAATTTGATGGAAATTCGTCATTGCGAGATATTCCAGCATGATGGTGCACCGTGTCACCAATCTCGTCTTGTAAAATCTTGGTTAGAGGATCACAACGTTCAGGTTCTGGGTAACAATACTTAATGACAGTTTTAAAATATTGTTATTTATAATAGTAAATAAAAAAGAAAAAAAAATTAATTTTAAGTAAAACTAAAACATACCAAGTCAATAATTTTTTGAAAATGCACAGTGACAGTACATGATTCAATATTTAAGTGTGATTCAGAGTTGTGGATTAACAATGAAAGTTTTTTTGAACGAATTTTTTGGGAACGATATCCAAATACAAACAGCATTGCATCAATAACATTTGATTTTCCAGAGCCATTAGGACCAACAATAGATGTAAAATTCTAAAGCAAAATAATAAATACTATAAGCAAAGAATATAAATAAAATATTTTCATACTTATATAAACTTTAGTATTTATATGGTATAGTATTTGCCAAAAGAGAAGATAATGATCAGATGAATGGGTCCCTAATATTATATATATATATATATATATATATATATATATATATATATATATATATATATATATATACATATATATATATATACATACATATATATATATATATATATATATATATATATATATATATATATATATATATATATATATATATATGTATATATATATATATATATATATATATATATATATATATATATATATATATATATATATATATATATATATATATATATATATATATACTCTTGCATGGTCATTTTTAAGCTTTCACCATAAAATATCAGTTTTAAAAACTATTTTAAAGGCCAGAAAGAATTTAAAAACATTTTTTTTAAAAGTTTTTGTTATTATTTGATAGACTTTCTACATTGCGGAGTGTTGCTACATTGACTACATCAAAGCAGGCTATAAAATAGTCAATGTAGCAACACTCCGCACATGTTTTACATTCTGAATATTTTTATTTTTAAATAAAAATAAAAACATTTAGAATGTTTTTATTTTTAAAAAATAAAATAAAAACATTCAGAATGTTTTTATTTTATTTTTATTAAATGTTTTTATAGAAAGAATTTAACCAAACACAAAACCATAAAGGCAAAAATGTGGTTTTAAAAGAGGAAGATGTATTTAACAACAAATAAAAAAACTCATCATCTTGAAAAATAAAACACAAGTTTTAAAAAGTAGACAAGAAGATGTAAATTTTCTAAATGATCAGAAAGGATTGCATGTTCAAAAAAGGTTGCGCAAAAAAAAATTTGCAAAATAGTAAGTGAAGTAAGAAAAAAATGTAAAGGTTATAAGAGTCCATTAGGAAACAAAGATTGGTTAGTAACAAATTTGAGGAGACAAAAAAATGTTTAGATACTTGCAATAATGGAGATAATAAGATAGACAGTATTTCCAACCTTTTAGGAAACTTATTAAGTAGTTCCTATTTTTATTCATTATCTGTAAAGCAATTACATAAATTAGCTCCTGAATTAGCTCAAACAGAAAAGTCTGCAAATTATATAACAATAAAAGATTTTTTGGATCTGAAAACTGATTTTTTTTTGATTTGTTAAAAATGTCATTACTTTACACAGAATGGCTGAAAACCGGTTCATCAAACTGGAACTTATTGCAGCTATGTGCTATGTGTATACTGTTTATGAAAAGGAAAAAAACTTTACAACTCTCTGTGTTTAAAATTAACAAAATCAAGTATATTTTATATAAAAACAATTATAATTGAGGAAACTAATAAAATTTTATTGTTTTTATAAATGCTAATATTTTTTTACTTTTTTCATTATTCTATTTTATGTTAATTTTGAATATTTTTTGTTTTTCTTTTTATCAACTGATTTATTTAGGGATTAGCGCAGTGGAATATACATACATCAATATTAGTGTTAGTACATACATCAGTATTAATGTTAGTACATACATCAGCTGACTTAAATAGGAAACATACAGTGAGTGTATATGCATGGTAGTTTTTAAACTTCAACTGACTTAAATAGGTAGAACATGTGGAGAGTGTATATACATCAATTTAAATAGGTCAAACACACAGAAAGTGTACATATATCGACTGACTTAAATAGAATGTGGGATTAGTAGGGGTTAGTTTAAACATAAAGGTAGGGGTAACTCTTAAATGAATTTAAGATCTTATACTAATTAAAATTTGGATTACATTCAGCGCAAAAACCATTAAGCCAATGAGGAAAAAAAATTTAACTTATTTTGGGAAAAAACACAAAAATGCAACATAATCTAGAATGTTTATATTCTTTATTATTATTAGGACAGTTTGCGCTTATACATTTTATTATTATTTTTTTATTTAAATTAATTTTTTGTCTTTATTAGACACATATTTTAGACAGTAAATATATACAGACAGATACTTTTTAAGACATAGTGTACATACATCAACTGATTTATTTAGCCATAGATACAGCAGAGATTGCATACATTGACTGATTTATCAAGCCATAGACACAGTGGAGTTTACATACACCAATTTACTTAGCAATAAGCACAGTGTGTGGTCTAATAACTATAAACTTATAAAAACTTTTAAAAAATGAAATTAGCTGTCTACCAGAGCTTCAGCACATACAACAACTAAGATATTTATTACTTTTACAACTAAGGTACAATTAACATATGAAGGGCATTTATTACTAGTAGTTTTAGTTCCAGCTTTTTAACTTAAAAAGTTAATTTTTTAAAAAATTTCTTGCTTGATTTTGATTGATTTAGATATCTCAAATGTAAATATTTAAACAATAGTCAAAAACCTTGTGAAAAGGGCCAAGAACTTGCTTTCCTGCATATGATTTGAAGTTTATGTTTTCTATATGTGTTATTATTAATCGAATAGTGGGATTAGTTTCTTTTTGACTTGATGTTGCATTTGAAATAGGGGCTACATAACTTTTTGTTGTCTGTGTGTTTGATAAAAAAATCTCATTCAACATGCTTTCTTCTTGTATTGTCATTTTAGCAAGACTTTCGAGCTTTTCTGACAATAAATTTTTATAGTTTGCTAAATAAAATAAAATTCATAAAATAACATTTATATATTATAACAAAAATAGGGAAAACACATAGAAATACATGAAACAAATATAAAGTGTCTTACATTGAAATCCCTTACATTATACAAAAAATTGGCTTACATAAAAAAGTATGAAAATAAGATCAAATAAAAGTAATAACTAGATATAATAAATAATCTTTATTAATATATTATATACTACTTACTTTGCTAAAATTTTTGTTCAGCATTAACAATACAAAATTTTATGCTAGTTTTACCCTTAAGATTAAGCTAAACCTTTCTTATAATCACGTTTAAGCTACCTTTTTTTCAATACTTATTTGTAATTATCAAAAGTTTTTGCATATTTTTGTCATTTTTATGATTATTTAAATCTTTTTATGCAAATTATAGATGTTTACTAAAACTAATTACCAAATCAAATCAAATCAAATATATTTTTGAATTAAAGTTACTACAACAAGGATATTTACAAAAAGTAATGAGTACTAATATCAAGTAAAAACCTGTCATATTCAATAATAATAAAGATAGTGATAATAACAACAATAAATATAATATAATATATATATATATATATATAAATATATATATATATATATATATATATATATATATATATATATATATATATATATATATATATATATATATATATATATATATATATATATATTGTTACAAAGTAAAATAGACGATTATTATGACTGGATTAAATTTTAGCATATGTGAAAATCTTGTTTTTTTGTTTGTTTGTTTTTTTACAGTCTCTTTTTTCGTGTTTTTTTTAACATTTCCCGCCAAATCGGACTATAAAGAAACGTAAGTCTTTATATTCCGTTCGTTTTTCCTGCTATTCAAATTCTTTTCTTTGGAATTTGCATTGTATTATGTCCAAACAAGAACTTTAGATGCTATAATTTTTATTACTTTAGGTTTTTTAATATTTAAAGAACCTTTTTTTTATAGGTAATTTTCAAAACCTTTTTACTACCCCTAATAGTAAATCAAAAGAGTCTTTGTAGTCTTTATATTCACTATTTTTGAATCACTTTCGCCCATCAGCGTTAACATGAATTTAGTTAAAATCTTTTGAAAAAGTGTCTAAACCCACTATAGATCCTAGTTTTATTTGGTTCTAACGTATATAAACTATATATAGTTTTCAAAATACAACATTTCTATCAATTTTTACAAAAAATACAAGGATTCCGACCACGAAAGAGCCTTAAATTAAGAAAAAATTGCCCAACGGTAAGAATGGATCATATTATTTACTTATTACAATAAACAATAACAATTTATTCATTTTATTTACTTATTACAATAAACAATAACAATTTATTCATTAAATGTTTAATATTGATAAAGGAAAGCAACACCAGGCTTTTATATGCTGACAATTGATATGCAACCGAAGTAACATCATAAACATATTTTTTAAAAGGCTTTACTGTAGGTACATCAACTACATCATGCGCTAGTTTATCTCAACGTTTACAAAACGGTTTGTAAAAAAGTGCTGACGTTCTGGATAACCTTTGATTAGTTGGAGTTTTAAACTTTTTTTTCTTTTTTTGTTTTTCTTTGATTAGTTGGAGTTTTGAACTGTTTTTTTTTTTTTTTTTTTTTATTATAGTCTGAGTTTGATGAAAAAATGCTGTAGTTGTAGAATATAAAATTACAAGCAAATTTGTATTACAGTCAGGGCCGGCGCGAGTAGGTGTCACACACACACCCCCACACCCCTATCGCGCCGGCCTTGATTGCAGTATGAGATCACTGCGTTTTTTGAGTGTATTTAAAAGTATTTTTAGTTTTTGATCATTTTTATTGCGTGTTGTTGAACACTTTTGAGTAGAGCAATTTTTTGAGAAGATTTGCTCAAAAGTCTCTAGATGCAGTACTTGATGTACAGTTGGTACAGTTTTTTCCATTGCTGGTTTTCCAATTGGCGGTTGTGCAGTCAATTTGCAGCGCTGTCAAATTATCCGCTTACAGTTTATCACATCAGAAATAATCAAAAAAATTGGTTGACGATATCAATTTATATAAATTGAAAAACGATAACTCATGTTGAACACTTGAACAAACGATAACTTATGTTGAACAATTCAACAACCGTGGCGCAGTGGTAGCACACTTGCCTCAGAAACAAAGAATCTGTGGTTCGAATCCCATCTCTGACCAAGTTTTGAGACATCGGTTAGGAAGGAGGCGTGAAATTCCAATCAAATGCTTATATGCGGTGCTCTGTGATAAGACCGTAAGGACTTCTTGGGGCACCTAAATTAAAATTTTTTTAAAATGTGGTGTTCCCATCATCATAAATAGCATGGGTTTGTACATCACAAGCTATTTATTGTGGAAACCTGGTTTACAAAATTTAAACAATCAAGGTTTAATTTTTTTTTCATCGCACAAATTATTGCCATACTCTTTTTGTGATTTTTGGCCCATTTAAGTTATGCAATTCTAGGAACATCTTACCCCAAGACTTTTTGTCTTTTTGCGCTTTTGTTAATGCTGGAGATGTGCGTTTTTTGCATATCTCAAAACGTCCGACTTGTTAACTGTACGACTAAACTTTACATCTTCTATCTTGAGCATTACAAGTTATATATATATATATATATATATATATATATATATATATATATATATATATATATATATATATATATATATATATATATATATATATATATATATATATATATATATATATATATATATATATATTAGGGTGTTTCATATTTTATCGATTTTTAAATTGACCAATTATATAAAAATAAGTTATTGCAAAAAAAACAATTATATGGTACCCGTCAATACGATGGTAGGCCAAAAATGCTGGGTGTTTTGAACAATAAGCAAGTATATGGTAGCTCTTCAACTTTAAATGATTTTCATTTATTTATAAAATTTATTTATTTATAAACAACACCAGTTGTTTATAAAAAAATAGTAATTACAAATAAATGTCATTTATTTATAAATGCTGTCATTAAATATAAATACAAATACTTATAACTATATGTCATTAATTTTAAAATACTATTTTGAATAAATTTCTTTCATAAAGGTCCAAAATACGAATGCTGGAATGAGAAAGCGCATCGTAGTAAAAGGCAAGCTTCGTCTAATTTATCAAAAAAAACTCTTATTGAAAAGCTCATATTAGCGGCTAAAGCAACGAAAAAACCAGAATTGGCATACGTCCAGGAAGTTGAGGAAACAACGAACCAATTAAATAAGCAAGTTGAAGAAGAAGAGAGTGATAAAAGATAAGGAAGGAGTGGCAGACGAAGAAGAAAGTGCTGTTTTTAGTGGATTATTACAAGACTTGAATAATAGACTTGATAAATAGTGATGGTGATTTAACTGAGTACTATTATGATTAATATTAATTAACTAACATAGTAATTTTAAGTAAATTAATATTTTGATAAATGTAATTTTTATATAAATTCATAAATATTACTTTTTCTTTCCACCATAATCTTATTCATATTACATTTTTTGTATAACTGATTAAGATAAAAATTCGTTTCTATGGAAATAAATAAAGCGATTCCAATAATACTCAAAAAATTGTTGTTAACCATCGCCAAATGCATCAAAAGTACTTGACTTTAAAATTGTTATAAAAACTTAAATACTTGATGATTTGAACTGAACTTTTTTAAGAGTGTCATATACCATTTGTAGTATAGGAAAATAAAATAAAAAATGTTTCTACCCCTCGGGCGATATAAATATAATACATGAAAAAATGCGTTTTTTCAAAAAATTCACGATAAAAATAAGAATTTATGAAATCATTTAAAACAAAAAGTAAGTTTTTTCAACCTAGCAACATGACTTAATTATTGGTATTTATAAAAAATTTAAAATTTTTTGCATTTATTTTATTTTATAAGAATTATAAGCATTGAGATAATAAGAGCAAAAAAAAGTTGCATGTAAGTAGCTAAAAACTAATCATAATGCATGAATATATGCAGCTGAACTTTTTATGAGGTATTTGCATAACCAGAACTTAATAAAGATTGAGTTAGATTAGCTTGAGAAGGATGTCTTTTAATCGAACAGCGAATTCAAAATTACAAAAAGTTGCATTTTTTTGCTTTTTTTTTTATAGTAATTTTAGTAAGTTTTTTTTTTCACTTTAAGTAAGTGAAATCTTTTTGACGTAGAAGTTAAGATATCTTAAACATATTGACAAAAGAAAAAATTTATTTTATGAATAATTTAATAATAAAAAATTGAAATTTTAACTTCTGCACTTTTTTAATGAAAATTTATAACAAAAATGACGTCCTTTAAATCCGTGTAGCGGTCCTGTTAATAAACATAAATAACAAACCTATATATTTTTAGATAATATTAGCAGTATACTTCATTTAAAAAAAATAAAAAAATAATTTTATATTTTATTAAGACTAAGAAAAAAAAAAAAGCATCATCCTCCAAATGTAGTTTTATGTAGTACACGCGATTTTTGTAGTACATGTTGTGAGTGTAGTAGATGTAGTGAATGTACACGCGATTTTTTCTTTTCTACAAATTAAGTGCTATCACGTGACTTTCGTTTCCATGAAAAACAAATCAAAGTAATAAAAGCGCACAAAATATTTTTGTTGTTGCTACGCAAATCCTAAACATTTATGCTCCGTTCTAAAATGGCGTCTCATTACAGTGCTAATCAAGTAGGTATCAGATTTTAAAATATTTTAAATTCGTATTTTTATAAGTGCTTACTTTATCTAATAATACAAATTTTTTGATTTATATTGCATTTTTAATCTTAAAAAAAAAAAAGTTTAATTTAATACTCTGCTATAAAATTTTTGCGCCTAATAGATAATAATAATAATATCAGTAAAAAAATTAAGAATAAAAAGCTGTATATATATATATATATATATATATATGTATATATATATATATATATATATATATATATATATATATATATATATATATATATATATATATATATATATATATATATATATATATATATCTGTGTGTACATTTTTTTATTTGATTTTGAAAAAAAATTTAAAATACAAAATTGGGTTCATATCGGACTACATTTAGAATTGCCTCATTAACCTTAAAAATTTTTTATAATTAATATGATTTGAGTTTTTTTTTTTAATTTTGTAAGTTTTTTAGTTGAAGTTTTTAACGTTTACAGAGTCTAGTTGATACTTTGAATAAATTTTTAAATAAATAAATAAATTTGTTTTTGTTTATTTATTTGATTACTTATTTAATCCTTTTTTTTTTGTATTGAAGCTGTATAATTTATTTAATAGTTTATCTACATTATTTATTTATCATAAAACTTTAATCATGATATTAAGACAAGAATGATTTTTAGTTATGTAGTTTCAAAAGGCTTACAAGTTAACTCACTTAACTGCTCTGCAACTCGTTTGGAAACAATGACACCAATTTGTTTTTATGAAAATTATATATTAAAGAATCAACATTAATATTTTTTTGCAACAACCACAATAGGATTATTGAAAACTACTTACTTTTGATGTCATTTTTTGAATCTGTGCTTCCTGGAGAAAATAAATAGTGATCTTTATCTGGTCTACATTGAGCAAGATGGATGGCAAAAACAATAACAGCTGCCCAATCATTTTAAATAACATTTGAAGAGAAATTTTTATTGTGATTTTTTATATTTTGCCATATCAGGTGGATACATTCAAGCTTGGTTTCCATCAGCTTTACTCACAAATCTAATATAAAATCTAACAATATAATTTTTTTGAACAGGCTCATGAAGTTTTCTGAAATCATTAACCTAGCTATAAATAGCTAAATGCAAGTGCTTTATATAAATATAGCATTGTTACTGTAAGTTATATAAATATGCCATTGTTACTTTTTGTCTCTTTGATTGGGATTCCTAATCCATTCAGATTTAAGAAAAAATATAACAAATTCATGCCCTTTTTAAAATGTTTTAATTTTTTTTTTGTCACATGGTTTGAATATGCATTTGAAATACTATTTATAAAACTAAAAATCAAAAATTATCTCTGATGTAATTTGACATTTACTTATTGTCTGCTATGCTGGATGTGGCAACATCTCTTTAACTTTGATTTATAGCATTTATTATTAATGTGCTCTGGTAATTATTCCTAATAATCTGTGGATGGTCGGAAAAAGAATGTGCTGCTGCAGAGGAAAAAAGAAAAACTGCCCGTAGCTAGCAAAAATTTTGAAATTTTGTTTTAAAAATTAAGTTTTTTTTGTTATTATTATTATTATTATTATTATTATTATTATTTTGCTATAAATATATATGATCAGATTTAAAAAATTGAAACTATATTTTGTTTAGGGGCAGATGAACCCTTGCAAAATGACACATATGACTGGACATTAAACCACTGAGTTATAGAAGTTTTGCATGTATCAGAAAAACCAACCATTTTATAAACAAATTTCTATAACCAATTGCAATTAATCAATACTTTTTAAGTGGGTTGTCTAAATAAGTGCAGCTTTATTGCATAGCAATTAAGTTGATCTTACAGATAGACAGTATTTATAATCAAATATGTTATATGCAAATATGTAGTGTGCTGATTATATGACCTGACCTGTATTTTCACAGGTCTAGTCAGCCAGTATATATATTAATAATCTTAGTTTTCTACCTAATACAACTCCCATAGACTGCTGTTTGGGTCTTTCTCTCATTAACCATCTTTTTATTATGATGATGATATTATTTTGTGTACACCTTCAACCAAAGGTCTCCAGAACTTACTTGACTTCTAGTTATGCTTTGAAGTATGAGGTATTTTTTAACAATAACAAATCACAAATGTTTTTTAAAAGTTATGAACCCCTGGTAAAAAGTCCTTGTTTCACATATTATATTGTAACATATTAAATCAAATTTGATTTAATATGTCCCAGACAATAAGTAAATGTCAAATTTTGTTTAACAGGTGCTAAACAATATAAATACTGGGGCATATTAAATCAAATAAAAGAAGATATTAATAACCTAAAAAGTGCAAGGGCAACCAACTAAAATCAGGGTTAACAGGTTTAAAATATGGTTTAAACTAATGTCAATTTAAACCAAAATAATATTTTTTAAACAACTTTCAATTACAAATCTTTCATGTTAATACTTAACATGAAATGTTATATACATAGCATAATGGATGCTATAATTCAAGTTATAGAAGACTTTAGCTACAAAAAAGTCAATAAATTGTCAATATTTACCATCATTTTTTGATTTCTCTAAAGCTTTTGATATAATTGATCACAACAAATTGCTCTTAAAACTTCAAAACTTCCTAGCTTCCTAGCTCGCTTACATCATTGATTACTAGCTACCTACACAACTGTCGTCAAAGAGTAAAAACAATTGAGCATGTAACCAAATGGAAATGTATTAAAGCTTGAGTCATTCAAGGTAGCATTCTTGGACCTATTTTATTTATATTATTCATACATGATATGAATGATTTTTTACCACCTGAGACAAACTTACAAAAATATGCCCATGATATATTAACTTACATTATCTGACAAAGACACAAAAAACCTGCCTTAATCTATTGTGGATGGCATGAAATTAAATCACTTAAAGTGCAAAACATTATTAATAAAAAAGAGTCCTCAACCTAATCAAGTTGCAATTCCTTGGTCAATTCTTTTAAACTCTAAACTCAAACCATTTGATTGCTACTAGTACTTAGGAATCCTAATAAACAAAAGTCTTAACTGGGATGATCAATGGATAAAAGTTCATAATACTTTTAAGTCAGTACCCTACTTACTAAAGTGCCTTAAAAAAATTTGTTACACTCAGTTAAACCTACTTAATTTACTAGTCAAAAATTTGGATGTTGTCATTCACATATCATTAAAACTCTTACCAACACTGCAAAAAGCGTTTAACAAAAACATTTGGTGAATATTTATGCATTAAATGTTTTTGTTAAAGTAACCAAATAATTTGGTAAAATGTATTTTGTAAATTTCACAAAATGATTTTGTAAATTTTACAAAATGGTTTTGTAAATTTCACAAAATGGCTTTGTAAATTTCACAAAATGGTTTTGTAAATTTCATAAAATGATTTTGTAAATTTCACAAAATGATTTTGTAAATTTCACAAAATGATTTTGTAAATTTTACAAAATGGTTTTGTAAATTTCACAAAATGGCTCTGTAAATTTCACACAATGGTTTTGTAAATTTCACAAAATGATTTTGTAAATTTCACAAAATGATTTTGTAAATTTCACAAAATGATTTTGTAAATTTCACAAAATGATTTTGTAAATTTCACAAAATGGTTTTGTGAAATATTTTTCACCAAATCCGTTTGGTGAAATTTACCAAAAATATTTGGTGCATAAATATTCACCAAATGTTTTTGTTGAAATAACCAAATATTTTGGTAAATTTCATTAAAATTGCCTTTTTTTTGCGTGTAAAAAAACCAATAAATTTTCTTTGATTTTGAAGACAAAATGGAACTTTCTCTCAAAAACTAAAGTTAAGGTAATATAACTCTAAAAAAAAACATAATATTTACATTTGTTTTAGCTTGTATTATTACCACATCTACAAACATTTTTTTTTTTACGCATTATGCAACTATACAGTCTATACTTATAACAATTCAAGACAGTCAACTAAACTTATAAATTCAACTCAGAAGCCAATTCACTTGCTTTTGGGCATGATACGTCAAAATCGGGGCAATTAAAACAATATATATATATATATATATTTGAAAAAACATCCAAGCTGGAAAACTTGCAATATTGTATTCCTTATCCAAGATCTAAAGACAAATAATTGAGAATGATAAAAGTTCTGTATACAGAAATGCAAATATTAGTAATAACATTAAACTCACTTGAATCAGTTTAAACGAAAAATCCATTGCTTTTAAAGGGGTTTTAAATGACCATCTGTGATTGTTGTACACAACAACAGCAATGTTTGGTGGAACAGCATAAACTAAAGGTTGAAGTGTCAGCTTCAGGTCATTATATAAGTTCCTGATGTTATTAATTGATTGCTCAGCATTTTCAACTGACTGAAAAAATAAAGAAATAATAATAATTAAGCAATACAAGTAACAACTTAGTTATTATAATAATTTTTATATTTAATAAATTTTAGTGTCTTTGAATAATAACTATTGAATAAAAAACTTTTGTATTTTATTTATATTTAATTTACATTGGCTAGAAAAAGAAATGATTCGCCACATTCTTTAACACTAGGAGTCTAGGATTTTCTCTTTGCTTCTTAGCATAAATGGATGGAACATTTGCAGCATGTCAATCGCGCAATAGCCAAAAAAGCAGCTGTCTCATCTTCTACCCCTATATTATATATATTTATATATATATATACATATATATCTAAATATATATCTATATATATACATACATTTATATACATATGTATATATATATATATATATATATATATATATATATATATATATATATATATATATATATATATATATATATATATATATATATATATATATATATATATCATAGATGATCCAGGTCATATTTAAAAAATCCAGAAAATTATTTGCTTAAAATATCCGGAAAAAATCTGGAATTTTTTTCCCCTTATTTTCCTTATAATTTTCTTTTAGCTGAGTTGTATCTCAATTTTTTTGAGAATTTCTTTAATTTTTGTATGAGTGATGACTAAAAAACCTTAAAAATCAAATATATTACACAAATATATACTTAAACTTGTATGTATAGAAAACCTTTTGGATATCCGGAAAAACTAATCTTGAAAAATATCCAGAATTCCTCAAATATCCGGAAAAAGATAATCCCTGATATATACATATATAATACACATGAATGTATAAATATGTTTTTTCCATTGTCAGTTAGGTGTATAAACATAGGTAATTTTCCGCCATCTTAAAAACTGTCCGTCTGTCAGATTGCCGAATAAGCTGTCATTGATATATGTATGCTTATCATATTATGCTACTGTGATATATATATGCTAATGATATTATGCTAATCATACTATATATGCTAATTAATAAACTTTTATTAAAAATAAAACACTAACCATCTTGCATGGAATATTTCTTGGCAACTAAGCCTATCAATTTTTTTGCATGTAGTGGAATTTTTTGAAACATAAAGTTGCTACAATGCTCATAATTCTTTTGCATACTCAATTGAGTAAAATCGATATTTACCTATAAAAGGTAAGATATTTTTTTGTATTTCTGTGGCGAACATTTAGTATGTGAAATATGGACATATGAAATAACACATAACAAATATTTAAAATATTTACCAATGCATCTGCTTTTAGATCCAAAAGAAGTTTAAAATTTGGAATGTCTTTGGTGCCAGATTGAAAACATTTCAACCTAAATTTTGAAGTTGATTTCCATTTATGACACACTTCAGTCCATGGTTGACTATTAAATTTAAGCCAATTAAGGTCATCTTAAATTGCTTCTTCTATATAATTTTTTTAATGTTTAAAAATAAAACTAATAAAATACTAAAACTTTCTCCATTATATGATAAAAAATTGTGCAAAGATTTATACATTTTATCAAAATACAATTTATCAAAGAAAATTTTAATAATTAACATAATGATATATAAAATTTTCTAAAAATATGAAACTCAATATACTATTTATTATGACTAAACTATCTTATAAAGCATACCATCGCTACTATCATGTTCTTCATTGTTGGCCATTAGAATTTTTTAAAATACCCACTAATTTAATATTTCGCCATGTGTTGCGAAGCTTCTCGGACAACTTTCCACCAGCTATAGTTTTTTTACTCGTAGGAGCAGTATACCATGTTTCCTAATACAGAAGATATTAAACATATATATCACTAACAATGATTTCGTTAAAAATCATATAGATCACATCAACTCATAAAGTTTATAAGTTACTTACAAGCTTTTCTGAGGGAAAATGTGTAACAATGATTCACAGACATCTGCATTAGTCTGACGATTTCTACAGAAAAATTTAAAAAGAATTTATATATCAAAAATAATTTTATCAAATTTTCATATGCATTTGCTTTACTACAATGTTATAATTTTATATTTGTAACTTTAGTAATAAATAATAAGTAAAGACAATAATAAATAAAACTAATTTTGAAAATCTAATAACTTATTACTTACTGCAATCCTTTCTTTTGAATAATATGGTTGACTACTATTCTAGCCAATTTGCTGCGTAAACTAAAGGTTAGATTTAAAGCACTTAACGCAATAATCCCATCTGTGCAAGAATTCAGGATCGGGGCTAAACCATTCTATTAAATTTATAAATAATATTTAAGTGTTACTAAACAAAATATAATTTATAATTAAAATCATCATACTTATGATACAAATGATATGTTATCAATAATGCAAATTAAGTATTATAATATTTTCTTTAACAGAATTTATAAAAATAGTTAAACATTATAAAGAAAAATATTTCAAACCTCAAAGAGAGTATTGTTTTTATGATGAAGTACAGTTTTTGATGCAAAAACTATTTTACCAGCTTGTATCTTGAAATGGCTTAGCTTGTTGTATACACTCTTTCTTCAATGGGCTTGTTACCTTGTTATTGTCCAAAATGAAGTCTATTTCACTTCGGCTCAAAGTAGCTGATTCTATAATCAAATTCACATAGGTTGCATTATTCACATAGGATGCAAACAGTATTACTAGTATTGTGAGAGTGAGAAACATTACATAAAAAAATCAAGTGTTTAAGTATTTTTAAAAATGTTATAGCCTCTTTTAAATCTTTTATTATTAATATGTAAGACAAATACCAAAGTTAGCATATCCGTTTTCTTTCTTACAGTTTTGGGGTTCAAATAACACGCTTGACATACTGAGAGAGGCTAAATATTATTTATAAACTATTAGGTATATTTTTGATAAAAATATGTATATAATATTAAAAACAAAAAAACGAGTAGCATGTAATTTGGTGATTTGCTATTCGTAACTTTTACCACTTTTACTGTTAGGTGAATTTTTAAACACATGACAAAAAAGTATAAAAAAATAACTGTACTGGATAACGTGTTTAGTATTGCATTGCTCTTAGAGAAATGAGCTGACTCAATATCTTCAACAAGATTCAAATTGTCTTCCACTAAAGTAGACAAAATTGTGTTATATGTAATATTTCCATAATTATTTAGAAATGTTATAATATAAAAATACTTGTTCAAAATACCTTTATGCAAAACTGGTGCATGATCACAATAGGCACACAAATCAAAACCTTTCTCTTTTGTGTATTCATCACAATCACATCCTGCTTTGAGACATTGCATTCTACTTCTCCCTTTTTTATCCTTCATTTTTAATAACACTATAAAAATGAGGAAAAATAAAGTAACAGAAAAACAACTTTACTTAATCATTTTATAATCAAGTTTTTTATTTTATTATATAAAATTATTTAGAAAAAACAACACTAAATGAGTAAGGAAACCAATAAATGAAGTAATGTAAATATATCATTTTAGAAGTTATAGCAAAAATAATACTTATCTATAATATAATAATTTTGTGGGTTATATATTATAATATAAAATAATATAATTTATTGTTTTTAAATAAATAACTAACATCAGTTCACTAAAAACAAAACAAATTACATCTACATTTGTTTAAAACTTAGAGAAACAAAAAAAAGAGCAGGATTGAAAAGTTCGTTTTTTCAAAAGGAAAGTAACCTTTGCAAACTAAAGTAGAAATGAAAAAAACTAAAAATGTTCAGATGAATTCAGATGGCAATAATATTTTACATACTACTTTTAAAACTTATTTAGTTTAAGGTAAAGACATTGTTTAAAGAATTTCAAATTTTTTGTTATAACAATTGAAGCTTGTTTCCTTGAAGGTACCTATAGTTCCTTTCGTGACACAAATTTAGAATGAGTATAACTAAAAACTTAGAATGCTACTAACAATGTCTTTACTCCAAATTAAATAGATATAATATCTTTTTAATTTGGAGTAAAGACATGGTTAGTAAAATTTATAGGTAGTATGTCATTTCTCCTTTGAAAAACAAGACTTTTCAATTTTGCCCTAAAGAATATAAAATACTTACACAAATTTTTTTTATTAAAAAGAAAAAAATTAAATAAATTTAAATGCTACCAGGATCAATAATTATATTTTGTGCATTAATGACAAGTATTTACTTTTATTTAAATTTCGTAGTTTCAACGGCCAAGGTGAGATAATGGTATCAAAGTGAGAGCAATTTAAAACAATTAATTCTGTTTCAATGTCAACCTCAAAAGATTGTAAATGATAGCATTCAGTTATAATAAACAACTTTTGACAAATAAAATAAATTAGTATCAGATACGAAAATTTGTTTGATTAGACAAAATGCAGGATATAATTCTTCAACTGCATATATAACAACATCACCAATTTTAAAGCTAACAAAGTTAACAGAAACACACTTTGTCTGGAAAATTTCTCTGTACAACCCATAATTACCAATCAACTCTGATATAGTTTTTTCATCAATCACATGGCATAGTAAAATAGGTTCAGTTTTAGTAATACAAAATTCATTATTTTTTAAGCCATGTTTTGCCATGAATCGAGTTGACTGATCCATTTGGTGTCTAATAGCTACTGTTTTACAAACATTTAAAAATTTCCTACAGACGAAGCAGTTCTCTTAAAACCTCTTAATTTACCTTCGCAACGCATTACCCACATATGACTTAGCGGGCCAAGCATTTTAATAATACGTGGATAATGAATAAGGTTATGAAACTTTAAAGTTAAGCCACACTTAAATGCAAAACAGTATTCTTGTAAAAATTCAGTAATGAGAGAACCAAAATGTAATAAATCAGGTTTGCTAAAATACAAACCAAATGAGTAAAGGACAATCTGTCTTAACAATAAAAAAACAATACAAACATTGTCTTCAAAAGGAACTAAATCTCCAACTAATAAAGGAAAGCTTAAAACCAAATTTAGCATTTCAATTGCACCAATATTAATTGAACCATTTTTTATTTGATACTCAGTGGGACATGAAAGAATTGACGAGTGATCATATGAAAAATTTCTCATTCTACTATTTATGTCACCTAGATTAAAGAACTTTTTCTGAAATACTAGATAGTTTAACATTTTTTGAAAAACATGTTTACAAATGCCTTCTAACAAATCGTGCATAATATCACAATAAATATTATCATTAACATGAAATGATGGAATTTTATTAAAGCAACACTTTTCCTTTATACCATTTAGGAAACAATTATGTAAAGAAACATCATAATCATAACATTCTCTAGTTCTAAGTGATTCAACAGATTCAACAAAAATACTGTCAAAGTCTTTACGTTTCATTTTGCATATTCTGCAATATTCCATCTAAACCA